TTTTTTTTTATTTGGGTTTATTACAGCTCAGGTATTCTGTAGATTTATATGGTTTGAATGTTTTCAGCATAAATTACTGTTACATTTTTTTTGACTATAAAAACAACTCGTTTATCGTTTTATCACTATTAATTCTAAATACGAGAATATTAGTTGTCAACGTATTTCAGGTCAGTTTTTGCCACGATAAATACACCATGTCTGACGAAGAAGAAAATGTGTAAGTTGTCCGGCATTAAACTACAGATCCATTCAGCTCTCTGCGAAAAAAAACTTATTATTAGTCCAAAAAGATTTTTCAAAAACATTTGTTTTTCTTGAAATTCTGTCGTAACTTCTGTTCGTAGTCAACAAAAGGAAACTATTTTTAATCCATAAAATCAATGCTAAACTGTTCCAAAAGTGGTTTCAAATACCACTGATTTAGGTCTGAGGAGGAGGTAGAGGCCGAGGAGGAAGAAGCAGCAGAAGCTGTAGAGGATGAAGAAGAAAAGCCTGAAGAAAAAGAGGAAGCCAAGTCGGTGACCGTGTCCATTTAAAAATTTAAATTTATACTTTATTCAAAAACAAAAATAAAAGTAAAGGTTTCTCAAACCATATTAGGGTAGCATTTTTTTCTCACACTTCTTTCTCATAGCAACAAAACAACTGTTCAATGAACTGCTTAAAAAATTCATCTGTTACTTATTGTTTCAACAGATCCACATACCGTGAATCATTTTCTGTTTAGTATCCAAAGCAGAAGTAGAAGAGTGATTCAGAATCTTATTAAGAATTATCCGGCCCAAATCCCTTCAATATTTATAACACAACTTTTTTTTTATCTCGGCACTCAATCCAAAACAATTGTCAATCTCACTGTATATACAAAAATTTTTTTGAAAGTAAATTAACAAATGAACCTCTGTAGTGTTCAACAAAGAATAACTCTCAAAAACCCAAAATTATTTCACACACTTCATTAAAACTTCTAATTTTTAGGCCTCCCGAAGGTGAGGGTGAAAATGAAGAAGTCAAGTAAGTGGCAATACTGTTTGACAATAAAAACCTGTTTTTGCTTTGTTCGACCTCGCTTTTTCGGTATCACAGCCAAGAACCATACATGATTTAGTAATCGTTTTTATTGATTTAACGAAGCTACAAAAAATCAAAAATTCAAATGAAGCTGACATAAAACTTTATAAGTAACAATGCCCTTTTCTTTTATTTTAGACTTCGCCGGGCCCCTCCGCAAGAGAAGGAAACTGAACCGGAAGAACTTACAGAGGCTGCGAAAGCAATGCTAGTGAGATCAATCTGAAATTTTTAGCCTATAATAACAGCAGTCTTACTTATTATTATACTTAGGCGTCCAAAACAGTTATATCGGTACAGCAAATTTAGGTTTCTCAAAACAGAAAAGTTTTTTACAGAAAATATAAATTTCATTTAAAGGCAGCAAAGAAACGACATGAAGAAGAAGAAGCGGCAAAGATGCAAGACTATGAAGAAAAACGAAGAGCCGAAAGAGAACAAATTGAACAAGAACTGCGAGAACTTCGCGAAAAGAGGGAACGTAGAATGCAGGAACGTTTGGAGGAAGAGCGTGAATTTGCTGAAAGAATTCGTCTTGCTGAGGAAAGACGAAAACAGGAAGAGGTTTGTCTGTCAGCAGACTTATATGACCGTTGTTTAGACAGCTGTATTCAAAAACGAGCATATTTAACGTTAACTACCAAATAGTTATCTCTGAACGGATAGTGAAAATTATGCTTTGTGACAACTTTTTTTTTACTAAAAGTGTAAAAGACTACAAAGCGAAAAATGATTGCCCAAATATTGCTGCAGAAAACAGCAGTTCGAAAATTGCTCATATGCTAAACGATAAGAAAATGGCCAATCAATTGTTTTAGGAATCTAGCAAGCAACGTATTGAAGAGCAGAAACTGAAACGTGAAGAAGAGAAGAGAAAGCGTCAAGAAATGATTGCCGGTTCATTAGGAGGTGTTAAAACAGAAGGAGGACCAAACTTTGTCATCACCAAACGAAGAAAGGATGAGTTTGGCAGCATCAACAAGGTTTTTTTACATTGATTCTTCCAGTGCCATAAAAATTATAGAAGTTGAAACAAATTTCATGTAAATATGAGAGAAAAGTTAAGAGAAGGTTATACAGAACTTTCTCTTGCAGCTTCAAAAGTGTGTCGTTGTCTTTGAAAACATTGATTTATAGGAGACCTTCATTTCCGTCTCTCTCACTTTTACTGCCGATATTAAATTTACCGAATCAGTTTGGATGCTTTAGGCACAGGGTCCATCAGAAGAAGAGAAACGAGAGGCCAAAGAGGCGTTTGTACAAATGATTACTCGACGTAAAATGGATGCAAGTAACATGCTTGAGAACGACTTAAAAAATCAGATTAGAATCTTACACCAACGCATCTGCAAATTAGAAGCCGAAAAATATGATCTTGAAAAACGACATGAACGTCAGGAATACGACGTAAGAAAAATCAATTTTATTAATGCGAACAATCTTTTGGCTACTGGCTTCAATTGGTAATGTCGCAAAAAGTAAACCCACTTCGTTTGTTTCTCATCTTGAACAGTAAAAATGACTGTTTCTTGTCAGAAAGTGTGGTTGTTATAGCTTAAAGAATTGCATGAAAGGGAGAAGCAAGTTGCACGTAACAAAGCCTTACAGAAAGGGTTGGATCCAAATGAAGCTGCGAGCTCTCCGCATCCTGTAAGCTTTGTAATAAATTTGCAATTTTGGTAAGACTTGAAAATTACTTCGCTGCAATTTGTTCTGTACTTTAACTATTTGTCGGCAAAACTTAATCAACTTTTAGCCTAAAGTTAATGTGGCATCTAAATTTGATCGACAGATCGACAGACGTTCTTATGGTGACAGAAGAACACTGTTTGAAAACGTAATATTTTTGAAGCATTTATTTTACCGGAAAAAAAATAAATTTTTAGAATCTTTTTGAACAACTTCATAGCTCTATACCTTATAGCCAGTAGTCAAGAAACCGCCAAAGCTTGCTCGTGGTACCGCAAGACCTCCACCAGAATGGGGAAGAACCGGAAACGAAGAGTTGGAGCTCCTTAGGAAAATTCTTGAGCCACCAAAGTATGTCGAACAGGTGAAAGCAGAAGGCGTTAAACCACCAATAGAACCAATACCTTTGGTACTACCAGATCCTGATGAAACTGAAGATGAACCACCGGCAAAAGTATATTTTTACTGAAGCTATATAGATAGTTACCTAAAGTTACAGATAAAGAATGCTCTTTATCTCCTAAAAAAATATTTTTTTTTTTAGCATTTACCTGAATAGAAAAATTTCCTTCACTTTTCTAGTGCCGTACAAATAGTCGTTTCAGCCTGAGCCTCCCCCAAAACCAGAGGAGAATGTACAGGAGGCTCCAGCTCAAGAAGCTGCCAAGTGAGCGAAGAATCTGAGTTTCAGAAGCTTTATTTCTTTTTTCTGTGCGTCAACTTTTGCTTCCGTAACTTTTTTTTTAATTCATATATGATCATCGAAAATGAAATAAATTTTGCAGCAAAAGAAAAATAGGTTTAACCAACTCCTTCTTCAAGAGAAACAACAAAACAGTGTTTTTTATGCCGTAACTTTGAACCTCTAACTCATTTGGAACTTTCATCCTTACATAAAAATTTTATCAACAGGTAATGTTCCTGTTTCAGAAGGTTATAGTGTGTACAGCCCTCAAAAAAATTCTGCGATGAAATTCAACACAAATTTAGTCGTGATAGCACAAGTTCACTTTTTAAAAATTCCTTTGAAAAGCGTGGTAATTAGCCATAACGAGAGAAAAATCACTTAAATAACGGCTAGATTACCGAGAACGATGATGAACAAACCGGTGGCAAGGAGACACACAAAAATGGAAACTTTGCGACTGAAATGTATTTGCAGAAAATTCCAAGCCATTTTTTTTAATTCGTCTAAACGTACAAATGCATCGTTCTGGTATAAAAAGTTGCTCAAAATACGCTATAAAACTTCCTCGCTGTACCTCTTGACTATTCACAGGCGTATAAATATTAAGACTTCTACAAACTGTTTACAGCCTATCAATACATTATGACTTCTGAGGTAAAAAGCTAATTTCACAAAGTTCAAGAGTTCTAAGAGTACTCAAAGAACCTACTATATCGCGGTCACCGCCGACTCACCTAATAACACAACAACACTTCACACGTGGTCGACAAAAAATAACAGTTCTCCGCCAGTGACATCGAACCATTACATAAATCGAGCCATAAACCCAGTTCTATTAGCTTCAGACTAGTGCCACTTTTTCGAATATTACCGATTCACTAGCTAAAACAAAAATTGACCTTGCGAATAATGAGGCATCAAAAATGAAAAACAATAGACTAAAATTGAAAGGCATCCTTGCCAGCTAATCTCTCAGATAATTCTGCAACGACCGTCTGTCACAGCGAGGTCGCGTGTGTTTTTGTGAAAATATTCTTTCTTATAGATTGGTAAAAGCCAAGTCCAGCATATTTGTCAAGTTTCCATAAATTAAACTAAAAGAGTAATTCGAAAACTTGAATTTTTGGCAGAGAGAACGACGATTAGGAAGAAACCCAGCTCATCAAAGTGTTGCCCGGTGAATTAAATGACGGTAACGCAGCAAAAAAAAAA